GCTCTTCCCATCGTTTGTTCGTCTGCGCCAACGCGGTTGTGTTGGTGTGTTGGGACTTGCCTTGTCCTTCTGTCTGTTGGTTTGCAGGACCTCGAATTGCTCCATCATGAGGCCATTTGGGCTTGTAAGCCTTGAACTTGCGCATGGACATCTGGTTGCGTAGTCTCTGTTGGGTTCCATGTATTATCTCTTTTTGGGAATTTTCTTCTTTGTAGTTAGCTCCGCTTTTTGTATGGGGCATTTCCACGCTCACCGCACCGCCTTTTAGGATGTTGGATCCCGAATTCTTTTGTGAACACGTTTCGAGAATTAGAGCCGGGTGAAGGAGAGAAGATAGAGTCAAGAATTTACTGATGAGAGAATCAGGGGAGAGAGTCCCCTTTATTCGTATTTTTATCTCTTATTTATAGGAGCATATTTTGTACAATTACAATGAGGGAACAATTATGATAAACGTTCTTAATATGATTAATGCTCTATTTAATTATATGAATTTTATATCATATCTGTATTACAATTTGAATTTTAATATAGTGGTAATCGGCAGGCCGACTTTTCTAAGCTCGGTTGATCGAGGCAACTGGTTGAGTGACGATCGTGCTTTTCGAAGTGTGTGTCGGTCGGTCGAGGCGCTCGACCATATGGCAATCGCTCGCCCCTGGTCGATCGGTCGAGGTGCTTGGGTGAATAGTGACTTACTTATTCAACTCGAGTTTTACAAGACTCATGTCTCGCATGCCTGATAGGTTCGTTGCCTTGGTCGAATCTCCCTATCTAGTAAGGTCTTGGGCGGATCTTGTCGCTGCCTATGTGAGGTATCCGACGAGACTCGCTGCTGGGATGATTTAAGTTTCACTCTCCGCATATTTTGCATTTACCGATCGGGGAATTATCTCCAGAGTTTGGACCTATCCCGAGCTCGGAGAAGCGGTTTCACATGCTCAGTGTTGAGTCGTTAATTGATTGCTTACCTCGAAGGGAAGCTCTTTTATCTTAGTATTTCATTCTCTTTGATATTCGAGCTGGTATTTTTGGTGTATACATATATGTAGTCCTCTAAAGGTGCAATCACTTGTAACAAAACTAAAACTTACAAATAGTACAGAAATCAATAAGCCTAATTTGTTACACAAAATCTTTGTCTGAACTAAATTCATTGATGGGAGCTTGTAGATTATTACAATAAAATCAATCAACATATTTATATGAATGATATCGCATAGCTGGTAGAATTTAGGTGCAACGGATGACAATAAATGCATTTATGTATCGAAATAATATTATGTTTGCTAGCATATGGAAATAAATTTTACAAACATCAAATATCAGAAATAATATAACAAAAAAAATTAATCACCCCTCAATATCCATGTTAGGCATGTCCTGGCTAATTGGACGGATATTCACTGGTGTTTCTATAGATTTTTTAAAAAAATCTTTTAGTTGTCGGAATACCATGGCTGTGACCTTGAACGCCTCAGCTACTATTAGAATCCAACAAACCTTAATTCTCTTTTGTAAATTGGGTTAAAACCCAACCCCTACCAGAAGATTAGCCAATCTTCTGATGCATGTTTATATTCCTCGTGTATATTGTATACTTAGGGATGTGCAGTGTTTGGATGAAATAAAAAAATCAAACTGATTTTATTTAGTTAGTTTGATTAAAGATGTTAAAGAATCAGTTCTATTTTTTGTTATAATTTTGGCTTTCTTTGATTTTTTTTTTTTTGTATTGATTCATTTTTTTGCTTTTGTAAAATCGATCAAACAAATATCAGAATATATTAATTTCTTTAAATATTGAATCAATGAACAAGCAATATAAAATTTATATTAATATTACGTAGTCCTCATGTCAAAATTAAATTTTATTTAAATTAGTTAATATTCTTTTTAATATATGTTATTTAAATTTAAATAAATAGTTTGACTATTAGATCTAATTTTTATTTTGATTCATTCAAAATTGATCCAAACTAATCAAAGTTCAATTTGAGTTTAGTTTGAAAAGTAATTTGGTCTACTTGATTTTTGAATTTTATAGTCAAAATTAATTGTTTTAATTAAGTCATAAACCAAAACTTCCCAACAAAATAATTGCACACTCTTTAAGTGCAGGCAAATTTTTTTGACACCCATGCAAATCATATGACACATTGTGACCCAGAAGTTTATATGAATTTAAATTTGCAGGAAAAATTAGCAAACTTTGTATAATCAAATAATAAATATAATTCAATGTGGAATGTGTGAAGGTTTGATTGGAGATTAATGACATGTAACAATTTGGGGGTTTACAGCGCATAAAAAATAAGATTGTTCTTAAGATGCGATCCTATTTTAAGAACATACTTTGTGTTTGGTTAGAAATGAGTGTACAGTCCATTTAAATTCAGAATCTAAAAATTTGATACTAAACTTCAGCTATAGTAGTTATTCAACTACCAGATCCAGGTAACTTAAATGCATCTAAAAAATTTATACTACAACAACAACAACAACAATAAAGAGCCTTTATCACACTATGTGGAGTCACCTACAGTAATCCTTTTTCTCCATTGCGTCTTATTGAGTGCCATATTTTCATTCTGAACCCTTTTTCTCCATTGAGTCTTATTGAGTGTCATATTTTCATTTAATTATGATAAATTACAATCATTTTTTATACAATATGCTCAAGTCTTTCTAGGTCTGCCTGTGTCTTTCTTAATATAAGTTGAATCTAAAACATTAACTCTCCTTACCGGTTCATCAGATGGTTGGCGTTTAATGTGACCGAACCATCTAAGCCGACTCTATCTAATTTTGTCCGCCACTGGAGCTATGCCAACACTATCTTACAAAAAATTTATACTAATCTTACAAAAAATTTATGTTTACTTTCATCATGATTTTGGCTTGCGGAATATTATAATAATCTTTAAAAAAATTTATGAGAAACATGACTCCTTTACCACTTATAGTGCTATTCTTTGTTTACCACTTATATTTTTTTGATGGATTTTGCATGGAAAAAAATGTGGGACTCTCGAGTCTCATCTTTTTTTGTCAAATTTGCAGGTTCCTTCGATTACTTTAGGATATTCAGCGAATTACTTGGCGGAGTTGACGTTGGTCGAATATAGCTTCTTAAAGTTTCTTCCTTCAGTTATAGCTGCATCTGCTGTATTTCTTGCTAGATGGACATTGGATCAGTCTGATCACCCATGGGTACAATCTCTCATCTTTAATATCCTTTTCTATTTTTCAGCGTCTCCCTATTGCAACTGGTGAGTGTAGTTATTGCTTCTATTTAGAATCGCACACTTGAGTACTACACCTCATACAAAGCTTCAGATCTTCAACCCGTCGTTCTGGCTATGCAAGATTTGCAGCAGAATTGCTGCAGTTCCGTCCTCACTGCAATACGTGATAAGTACTTGCAAGAAAAGGTACGCTAAATTATGCCATTATATAATTTCAATATTTCCTCAAGTCGATATGTCCTCCCTCCCTCCCTCCCTCTCTCTCTCTCTCTCTTACATTTTGTTTAGAGAGAGAGAGAGATAGAACGTACAGAATTAAAGAATGGTTAACGCCATTGATTATGATTGGAATGGTTAACACCATTGATCTTATTTGTATGGACAAAGGCTACAATACCCAATTTATTTGCCCAAAAAACTTTTTGATGTATTGGCAGTTTGGCACCAAGATTAAAAAACTGAGATAGAGAGATAGAGACATAGAGAGATAGAGACATAGAGAGATAGAGATAGAGAGAGAGAGAGTAGCAATCCCATGTGATTTTTTATTCCAACAATTCTGATAACAAATAGTGCAATTGTATTGAACGTACATTACTGTTGTTAGAACCATAGTAATTGAGAGTTTTTCTCTCTTCCACACTTCAATCAAAATTTGAGCCTACTAATTTATATCAGCCTAAGTTACATTTACAGTATGTTGCTGTCCATTCCCAAAAAAAGTGAATGCATACAATTTTAGTAGAGTAATAGAGCATAAATCCAATGTTAAGCAGGATTTGATCACAAGATCTCCATAACAACTTTTAAAATTTGGAAAATTTACATACATACCCACTCAATTTTTATGTGTTTTCATATCTAACACCTAAACTTCAATTTTTACACTTCACCTTATATTTATACATGAAACAGTTTTTTTATCTTTTTAAAAGTTAAAATGGTGATATTTTTTTGTGATATGGCTAATTTGGGTGGTATTAATGTAGCAATCAAGGTGTAGATGTTAGATACACAGGAATTAGGCGGCATGTATGTAAATGTTCCTTAAAATTTTAATCACTTGAATCATCTGAGCTCACATAATACATTGCTAATCAATTATGATGGAATACTAAAGAACTAAGAGTTGATTTCTGTTTACAGTATGGAAGAGTGGCTGATCGAGTATCTCCCAAGTTACCATCCTCCATCTTCTGATTCTTTCGTGTGGTTTGTGCCATTGAAGAACTTAAGCTGCAGCAGAACTGAAGATGCACATCCCTTTAACCTTTTCTTCCTTTTTTGTTTTAAAAAAACAAAATTTTCTGCAATTTTTGTGATTGCAGCCCCCACTGGATAGATAAATAGGGGCTTCTAGTGCAGGTAAATTCTCAACTCCCCCTCTCTCTAAATCAGAACAAAAACTCATCGGCTTGATGAACTCAGAACAGATTGTAACTAAACCATTATTTCACTAATGTTTCAAAGCTTAGAAGGAATGAATACACGTGCTCTGTTAAAGATCCTCCTGTGTTTCTTTGAACTTTTGAGTGTCTGTTGATGATATAGTATTAAGGTATGAAAATGGTGAATGGTAAAATGGATTAGTATTTGCGTTTGATTGTTGTTGTGAGACATTTCTTGAGTTTAGTATTTATACTCGTAAAACTTTGGTGTCATACAACTATGCATAAAAAATGTATTTCTTTTTTAAAAATTTAATAATGATGGTGTATTTTTTGTGATCTTAAAATTTTGAGAACTATAGATGGAAATATGAAAGTTTAGGTGTTATATACATGGGCATAAGAATTTGAGTGGTATGTACTTAAATTTCCTTTTGTTTTCTCACAGATTAGTGTTGAACAAAAGCTTACAAAGTAGCCATTGTAATGGGCTTGGCTTCAACTATAATAGGTGTTTGCTAGCTTATTTATTTTTTGTTGGCGGAAAGCTGGGCATTAAAGTAATATGCAATCTTATGGTGAAAGCTGCACCGACAATCATTAGGGGGTCGTTTGGTTGAATGAATCAGTGGTGTACTGTAAAACTTCAGTACGGATTTGAGAAAATTCTGTGTTTGGTATGAAAATTTATAAATACAACATAAAATTTTAATGAATTTGAAGTTTACGCCATAGCTTATTTTGGCTGAATTTAGAATTTGGTCGATTTAGCTAAATTTGAATTACATCATTTATGTAAAATTATAAAAGCAAGCAGTTGTTGCCCGCCGCTGTCGCTTGTCTGCCTCCCCCCCCACCTACCCCCCCGCCGTTAGCCGCCGCCCACCTGCCGCCAACGCCTCCTAACGCCGGCGCCCGCTGTTGCCTCTCGTTTCAGTTGCCTCGCCACCTGAAAACGCCATCCATCGTGCACCACTACCGGTCCCCAGGACCTTTTGCCATGTAAACACATTATTTACAAATTACTTCACACCAAACTAATAAAATATAAATTCTTAAGTTTATTTTATAGTAAACCAAATAATTAAAAATTATTTTAAATATAATTACGTAAATCTTTTACATTGCATTTCATTCTTAGCAAATCAAAGAGTCTCTATGTCTGTAGAGCCTATTTCATAGTTGACTCACATATTATCAAGCTAACACATATCCATGGAGTGAAGATGATTTGATTGTGGAATGTTTTGGGAAGAAACAAACTCAATGACGAAATGCACTTGTGCGATAAGTCGAGCGCAAATGGCAATATAGATATTATATTATAATAGTTATACCTAGCATACAAATTATAAGACTTTCACATGTAAAAAAAATATTTAACGGCGCTATATATATATATATATAAAGAAATGACAAGAGACTATTATATGAGGCTCCGGCCACCCTTAATGTGCCTAACAATTCAGTACTAACTCGTTAAGGCTAATTTTGTCAGAGGAGATTCGAACACCCAACCTAAGGAGTCTTATACAGTGGATGCCAACCAACATATCGGGGTGCACATATATCTTTGCCCGCATATACGTACACCACTCGTAATATTTTTTTCATCATATTTGATTCACAGGAATTCAAACCAATCATCATTTAATATATTACAAATTAAAATATTAAATAATCACAACAATCATTTAAACATGTTTTGAAAATAAATGGTTCTAGGATTGCCCCCTATTTTATACTTTATAATTAGCACAAATGATTATAAATTATTTAATACTCCGCGCATAAAAAATAATTTTATTTAATGGAGATTACCAATAAACAAAAGTCATTTAATGAAATACTAACTAAAAATATAAATTGAGAAAATTACTGGTTTATTTCTGTTTTTCTCCATCTAAATGAGAACATGCAGCGTAAATAATATATTCATATAAATAAAAAAGAAAGGGGCAGTTACATACAAACCACCTGAAAATTACTATTTACAAATCAGCCCCTCTTTCATCCATTTTTCAAATTCTCACTAAAATATCAAAAGTCATGATAAAACCCCAACCCATATACTTCATTTTTATCGAATTCTCAATAGTTTGAACTTGGCACATGTAAATATATGGGTTCTATAGTTCAAAAAATCACATAGGTGATTAATATGTAAATATCAATGTTTGAGAAGTTTGTATGTAATTATTCAAAAAAAAAAATCATATATTCATATATTTTAACAATTCAAGAGCCTTAAGAAATATTTTAGGACTAGCATTTAACAAAAAAAAAAAAAAAAAAATCTTGCACAATATGATTAATCTCAACCACATAAACCTCCGAGTTGTTATGACTTTGGGTTGTAAGTGTGTTGAGCTGGCTCGAGCTCGACTCATTGATAAGTTCGCAAGTCCAAGTTCCATGAGTCGTATGCTCGAGCTCAAACTCAAGCTTGTCTAGGCCCAGCTTGTCAGCTTGCAAGCCAACAAAATTAAAACTTAATTTACTAGCTTTATATGACAAATTATGTGCAAATCAAATATATAAGCATTCATTTAAATTTTTAGGTTTTTAACTAAAAACAAGCTTAGTATAAATCAAGCATAAAGATTAAAATTTTTAAGCAAACCAAAGTATAAACATATTTTGGAAGCTCATCTCAAGCTCAAACTGAAAATGAAGCAAAGTCCCCATGACATAGCCTACTCGACTCAGCTCGACTCAGCTCGATTACAACCCAAATCATGACCATTAAAAAAGAGAACAACATTGGGCTTTCCTTTATGATACAAACGGAGAAACTGAAGGGAACAATCATGTGAAACTCTTCTTCTTCTTTTGTAAGTCACCTTCTACTGCAGTTGTTGACATGAAAGGTCGCAGCTTTCCTGTTGCAGAAGATAGAGGATTTATTATTGATAACCACTCACTGGATCTCTCTCCCTCTTCTCTGTCACTGCACTTGCCTTCCTCAACCCTTCATCTCTCTCTCTTTCATGTCCATTATTGCTTGCTCCTTCTCACTGCCCTAAATTTTCTAATTTGGAGATATAGCAACATGAGGTTGTGGGAAGAACTTGGGTCGATTGGCTGAACCAGATCGATGATGCTGTTGTAATATATATACATATAAACCATCCTCAGAATTAAAAAAAAAAATTCCAAAATTAAGAGTTTCGGATTCAAATATGTCTGAAAATTGAATCCAAGTCAATCACTTAAACACAACACAAACTTGCCTCGACTCAATCAAAATATTGACTTTCAACTTAAAGCCACCATCTTGCAGACCATTTTCTATTCCTCATCAACAGTGCATCAACGCATGGAAAAAGCAATGTATAAGTAACAGTTTTACTTGGCCAACAATATCTATAAATCTCTATTTCTTTCACCAGCCATTAATGCTCTGCGGGAAACACAATCAAGTACAGATTTTGCATTAAGCTCCCTACCGTATCTCCATAAATAATTCAAACCAACAAGCAGCTCTGTTATTGCAGCCTCTGTCTTCTCCTGATTTGCATAATAAAGAGTCTGGATTAAAAGAACATTTGTACTTAAAACCAAATTCTGCTTCTCAAAATTCCTCTCTGATTGCCACTTAATCATATTATGTGCTAGGGGAGACAACCAATTCAAAATATTTATCATTGCATCACTCCATTCTGCTGCAAGGGTTGGATCATAAACAGATGAAGCTAAATTCTTTGCATAAGAGCTCAGCCTCGTCTTAAGGGAAGTTCTTATACTACTGGGCAGCATTCTGTACAATTCATCTCTAACATCAGGCCCGATTGAATTCGGGGAAGCGGCAAGCTTTTCTATTACAATGATCACATTTGCGTAATGCAGAGCTAAAGAAGCAGCGCCCAGCGTCGATGGTGGAGCATTCAGTAACTTGCGTTTGGAGCCGAACAGAGACAGAGATAACTTCATATTGAAAACGTTCGGTTGAGGTTCACTCTCATCTTCTATCTCATCCGTATCTATCCTTGCAGTATTGTTTTGCTTATGAAAACCAGCAAGTGGAGAGGATTTGGAGTTACCATGATTCACGAGAGGACCAGATGCAAAACTTCTTATGCCTTTCCTATTCGATGCGTGAAGGAACGAAGACTGTAAAATTCCACTTACAGAGTTGTAGAAGTTGGAGAGATTCCCCGTGGTTTTAGCGGCATAAGCATCATCCTTGCGATCAAATCCGAAAACAAGCTTAATCCTGGCCACAATTGTGAACAAAGCCCTAGCAAGAATCCGGACGACGAAATCATGACTTCGATTCCATACAGATGCATCTTGCAGGCTCTTCACGGCCTGCCGCTGCCACGAAACCCTCTTTTTAAAATTCCCCAAACTGCAACCCTGACGACTCATCTCCGGAATCGCCTGCATCCTCCTCAAATCATTCTCCATCTCCGCGAGTATCTCCACCTCCTGATACAAATTGCAGCTCGCCGCGATGAACCTCTCCATCCTCTTGACCTCCCGCTCCATCCTCTTCTTGTTGCGGTACTCAAAACAGCATAAATCGGTGTCGTTTTTTATCAGATCCGCGAACACGTGCTCGAAGCGGTACAGCACGGGGTTGAAGCATCGGGATCCGAGGCGCGCTACAGCCCTCCCAAGCAAGTGAACAGCGTCCATGGTTTCAGCAAGGACGAGGCTGAGGAGGAACTCGTCTTCATCAGAAACAAGTTTTCTCACTCCCTGGAGACTTAGGGTTTCGTCCCTAAGCACCGCGATCCGATCGTCGTCGAGTGATTGCCATAGATTAATGGTCTTGGACATGAGCCGGGAGACCTCGAAGGTCAGCACACCAATGGCCGGCGCAGCCTTCTGTTTCCTTCCCCAACCTCTCACCAACCACAGCCATGGGCCTCTCAGTTTTGCTTTTGCTCCCATGATTAGAAACCATTAGTCTTCAAAACCGCCATTTGGATCCAGATGAAGAAACTCGGAGCGAAGAAGTAAATTGGATGGAGGAAGAAGATTAGCAGTGGCGTGAATTGAGGAGAGTTCATATAAAGAACAAAATGAGGCGGCAAATGCGAATGGACCGAAGCCGCCTGCCATAGTCGACAAATCCGGCGAGCAGACAAATGGCGGTCAAGAGCGCGCTCCGTGATTTCTACGGACATGATGCTCTTCTAATTAAACCTTAATTAAAATCTTTTTTAATTCAGTAATTTTCTTTTCTTGGAGTGATATTATTATTTTATTTTATTTTTAATTTATTTCTCTTGTAATGAAATTCAAGAATTTTTGGGTTGACTTTCTTTTCTCTTTTTTTTTTTCTTTTTCTTGGAGCATGAGCTTTAATTTTATTATTTATTTTGTTTGATATTAATATTTGTGTCGCTTTAAGGCCAAAATAATATAAATAAAAATATTATTTTTTTAGATAAGATGATAGGTTGAACCCAATAATTTAGGATCCTTCATTTTGTTCACAATTTATATTTTATATGTTTGATTTGTCATCATAAAATTTAGCCATTTGGCACAAATCACGAGTGAATTTTTTTTAGTTATAAATGTTTTGAATCAAATTAAAAATCATCTGGATCTCGAATTTCAACAAACGTATAGTCAACTTGAAGGGCTTGACAAGATTAACCTAATGATATTGAAGTTGGCCCAATCAAACTCGGATTAAACTATTAAACCACATATGGAAACTTTGGAGGATTAATTAGAATGACAAATGAATTCCAAATTTGAAGTATCTATATTTAAATTAGACGTTTCGATGAAAGCAAATTAACAAGCCTAAGATCGCCCGATTTCAATGTCATTAAGGCTATTAGATCATCAAAAAAAAAAACTTTTATAATCAATTGGAATCAACCATCGTTAGCCGTTATCAACCATCGTTAGCTGCCTCATGCTCCCATTCATTGATGAGTCTTCTGGTGTAATGAAGTATTCCGAACATGATATACAGAAGTATCCCTAATGCAGTGTAACGAAGTACGTCGAGCCGATGTAACGATGTAGCCCGAATGCTGAGTCGTGAAGTATCTCGAATATGAGGTAACAAACTATCCCAAAACGGTGTAACGAAGTATCCCAACATTGTAACGAATAACGTTGTATTGATGGTCCGTCAATAACTCCCAGCAATTGATACCATGATGAAACATGGATTCCACGATTGTAGGAGAGAAGAAGAATCAGAGGAGGAGGAGGAAAGCTCAGGCTTGCACCCAATAAGTAAATAGTAATATTTGATTCATTTCACATGTAATATATAATAAGAACGAGTCATATAAATAGATTTGGGCAAGGATAAAATTGTAAAAACATTAAACACTCACGTATATTATATACAATTACAAGTAGTATTTGAAATCCCTAAATTCGACATTCTCCAGAGGAGGCTAGAGTTAAGAGAAGGGAGGGCTGTCCGTAGAGCTTGAGCGAGGTTTCAGCATCAATATAGGTAAGTACTTAATGCTAATGCAATCTCTGTAGTTAATTAATGTTATTGCAGTTACCAACTACAAATTATATGATTAACTGCTACTGCAACTTTCAATTACAACCTTTGTGACCAATTGCGCTACTGCAACTATCAATTATGATCCATGTGACCAATTACGACCTATGTGACTAACTTTTATTGCATCTATCAACTATGGTCTATGTGGTCAATTACTACTGTAACTTCTCACTACAACATTCGTGGTCAACTGACATTACTGCAACATCCAACTATGTTTTTTATGGCCAACTACACCCTAGTTGCTAATTCCTACTATAGCAACCTACAACTACCTATGTGATCAACTACAACCAATATGTATAACTACAATGCAACTGCCAACTATAGTCTATGTGACCAACAACTGCGTATATGAATAACTGCCACTACATCTACCAACCAATGCCTATATGACCAACTACAACCTAACTAGCTAACCGTTTTTACATCTTCCAACTGCGAGCCATGTGACTAACTAAAGCTCTTGCAACTATCAACCACGGTTTATTTGGCCAGTTAATACTGCAGCTTTCCTCTACAATTTTTGTGGCCAACTGATGCTCTTGCATCCACTAGTTACAGTATTTATGACCAACTACTGCCTTTATAGCAATCAACTATGATATTTGTGGCTAACAATTACTTACAACCAAGAATCAAATTTGTTGTGGCTCAATTATGATTATTACAGCTAAATTAATATTGTACATATATAATTATCTATATTATAATTCTATATTTTCCAATTTATGAGGTAAGTGGACCTATGTACTTACAATCATATAATGAATTATTTTGACTGTGATATATTCAATTGTGTTTTCCCTTTCTAAGGTGTCTCCAACTAGCTTTTTATTATTGTATAATGTTGAGACACTAAATTATCACTCTACATTCGAAATTTTTCGGCTTACAACAATATTCAATAGTGATCAACAATGTGAAGACACATCAACTACAGCTCGATAACTGTCAATTATGTCCATCAGCCATTTTGATAATTAAAATTCAATAGACTATAATTATAACCTTAAGAACATATTTTTGCATATAAAATTACACACACACAAACATACATACATACATATATATATATATATATATAT